GGTTGCCAGGGTGTTGGTAGACAGATGCTGTGGTGTTGTGGTGATTACTAGGGTGTTGACAGACCAGTCTCGGGTGGTATCTAGGATGTTGCTAAGGTAATCTTTTGGTTGCTTGGGTTTTGCTACATGGTTGTTAGAGTGTTGGCAGGCCAATGGTGTTCAGGGTGGTTGCTAAGGTGTTGCTGAAGTTTTCCAGTAGTTGCTAAGTGGCTGGTAGTATGTTCAAGGTGGTTGCCAGGGTTTTGCTATACAGATGCTGTGGTGTTGTGGTGATTGCTAGGGTGTTGACAGACCAGTCTCGGGTGGTATCTAGGATGTTGCTAAGGTGCTCTGGTGGTTGCTAGGAGATGGTAAGTGTGTTCATGGTGGTTCAGGACGTTGCTCTGCAGTTGATGTGGTGTTCTAGTGGTTGCTAAGGTGTTGCTACATGGTTGTTAGACTGTTCTGATTGACTGCCAGCCCAGTGGTGCTCAGGGTGGTTTCTAGGGTGTTGCTAAGGTGTTCCTGTGGTTGCTTAGGGGCTGTTAGTGTGTTCAGCTTGGTTACCAGGACAATGCTCTGCAGTTACTGTGGTGATATGATAGTTGCTAGGGTGTTGCTACATGGTTGTTAGATTGTTCCAGTTAACTGCTAGGGTTAACAGCCAGTGGTGTTTAGGGTGGTTTCTAGGGTGTTGCTAAGGTGCTTTGGTGGTTGCTAAGTGGTTGTTAGTGTGTTGAGGATGATTGCCAAAGATGTTGCTCTGCAGTTGCTGTGGTGATCTGTTGGGTGATATAGGGTGTTGCTACATGGTTGCAAGACTGTTTTTGTTGACTGCCAGGCCAGTGGTGTTTAGGGTGGTTTCTAGGGTGTTGCTAAGGTGTTCTGGTGGTCGCTAAGTGGTTGTTAGTGTGTTCAGAATGGTTGCCAAGGATGTTGCACTGCAGTTGCTGTGGTGATCTGTTGGTTGCTAGGGTGTTGCTATATGGTTGCAATATTGTTCTTGTTGACTGCCAGGGCAGTGGTGTTTAGGGTGGTTTCTAGGGTGTTGCTAAGGTGTTCTGGTGGTCGCTAAGTGGTTGTTAGTGTGTTCAGAATGGTTGCCAAGGATGTTGCACTGCAGTTGCTGTGGTGATCTGTTGGTTGCTAGGGTGTTGCTATATAGTTGCAAGATTGTTCTTGTTGACTGCCAGGGCAGTGGTGTTTAGGGTGGTTTCTAGGGTGTTGCTAAGGTGTTCTGGTGGTTGCTATGTTGTTGTTAGTTGCTATGTGTTTTTTGTGGCTGCTAGGTTGTTGCTAAATGATTGTTAGACTGTTCTGGGTGATTGCCAGGCCAGACTACAGTGTTTAGGGTGGTTTCTAGGGTGTTGCTAAGATGTTTTGGTGGTTGTTAGTGGTTGTCAGATGCTATGTATTTTTTTGTGGTTATTCGGTTGTTGGTTCATGGTTGCTAGACTGTTCTGAGTGATTTCCAGCCCAGTGCAATGGTGTTCTGGGTAGTTGCTAGGGTCTTTAGGGTTGTTGTTATGGTGTGGTTGCTGGCACAAATGGGGTTTCTGATGTGTTGAAATTTGATATTTAGGATTAGGGCTTTGCTCAAACTCCAAGCAAACACCACAAATCATTGAATGAATATTTATCTGGCACCCCCCCTCGCTTTCCACTGGAGATAACCTTTCAAATGTGAACAGCTTGACCACTTTGATCGGCCCAGTGCTCCTGTGCATTCAGCGACTCAATCATCAGTATTGAGCTAATTCCCAAAGCCACTGTAATCAATAGTTCTTATATGTCACATCTCTTAATGGTGAAATCAATGTGATATGTTTTCGTGAGCGTGTTTCTCACCATCACCGCAGAATTGAGTGGTGTTGCCAGACTGGCCGTGCTTAGACTACAACCATCAGGGTGATGGACACCTCATCGGTTCATGACCTCTCTCTCACTGCATAGGTCATTCCAGCACTGGCCAGCTGGACTGGTCCGTAGGGGTCCGTAGGCGTGGGGGTGGAAGTGTGATGATCTTCTCAGTCTCCTTTCATTACAGCAGAGCTCAACAGGACAATTCACATGTATCCGCTTGCCAACTGGAGCGATCCCTGCACGGTTCCATATTACTGAGAGGAAACTCAGTGGCTACAGTTACACATGTTGTTTTTGGACGCATAAAATGCTTCAAAATGCATGCTTTTTTGTGACAGATATGAAATCTGAATCCAGCGAGGAATGGAAGCAAATCCACAGTGCATATTTTGGGTGTAAAAGGTCTACTGAATCCAACATGTTCTCTCAAATCTGTCCATTTTCTGGTAATTACCCTCTCAAGGCTTAATGCTGTGTGCTATCACAGAGAGTTAATGGCCCTTTCAGCCACAGACTGTTGTAGACACCATCACGGTCATCTTGTCAACAGGGGAATATTGTCAGCCTGCTTTAAATTCAACTCATATTTGCTTTTACGACACAAGAATTGTTAAATTAATGGTGATGTATGTAATATCCAAAGGAATGACCTAAATAATGAAATAAAATGTTTTGCAACAAGATACCAATCTGTCATTGGTTAACCAAACTGACAGCCCCGCCCCAAAATTACACTGTTGGTTGAGCCAGTGTTGCTGTGTTAACGGGATAGTTCACCCAAAAGTGAAAATTCTGTCATCAATTACTCACCCTCATGTCGTTCCAAACCTGTAAGACCTTCATCTTCGGAACACAAATTAAGATATTTTTGATGAAATCTGAGAGCTTTCTGACCCTGCATAGACAGCAACAGAAATACCACGTTCAAGGCCCAGAAAGGTAGTAAGGACATCGTTAAAATAATATCATAAAATTAAGGTTGAACCACTGATGTCACATGGACTATTTTAACAATGTCCTGAACAAGGCTTATGGCTGCTTTCACAGTTATGCTTGGTCTGAACCCAAATTTCATGGATCCCCCTCTTCTGCCCCCTCTGGATTCTGTTCATACATTGTTTTTTGGTTCCGAAACCATGGTACATTTGCATCATCAGCATAGAGAATAGCATAACCTAACTATGACCAATGTAGAAGGCCGCAGTTATGTACAGTATAAGCAAAACTGTAAATTAAACCACCCTCATCAGCAGCCTAACTTACAGAGCAGCCCATTTGAACCACTCTGGGACACTCATTGTATTTCATGAGTCTAATTGTATGAGATTATGCCTGAATGAAGAGACACTCCATAGGGGGCCGCATGGGGGTTCTCCATTTTCATCACAAAGCCATGGGCCACCTCCATGTGCTGATCCACTACACACACCCTCACAATCACACACAATCATTTTTCTATGGTGAAGATTAAAGTGAATTAAAACTAGGACTTTGACTAATGCCAGTCTGGATGTCATTACAGAGGGTTTTGGCATGGAGTCTTGCTGTGCTGACTGGTCAAGCTTCAGGATTAACACGCCCCAGGGGAAACATACAAGATGGTGTGAGTGATCAGGTTTTGGGAGGAATGTAAGGTGGCAGGGACAGGTACAGACTAATCCTACCAAACAGACATGGATTTCTGCCTTAGACGGCATGGGCTGTCGAAAGTGTATTGCGTATGAAGTCGTTACAATTAGTGATGCACAGAAATATTAAAAAACATTTTTTACTGAAAATGAAATATTTTTTTCTTCGTTTGGCCCAAAAAGTAAATTGAATAATGCTGGCTGAGTGGGTAATTGATGCAGTTCTGTGTGTCTTGTTCACAGGTGATACACCAGTTGTAGTAAAGTTTTTCGACCTCAAACTACCACTTGATATTTCAGACAAACACATTTTCCCAATTGCAACCAAAAACGTGATTTTTGCTCTCTGTGAATTGTGTCGACACTGACATGTTCTCCTGTTGTTATTTGTCAACATTGTGTGCAGAGACTTTAAACAGTCAAAACACGTCATATGATGTCCCACCAGAGACAGTAATATATTGGATCACTGTTACACCACAATAAAGAATGCATATCACTCTGTTCCACGGGCAGCTTTGAGGCTCTCTGATCACTGTTTAGTTCATCTAATACCGACCTACAGACAGAAACTGAAATCAGCTAAACCTGTATTAAGGACCGTAAAAAGATGGACTAATGAAGCAGAGCTCGATTTACAAGCTTGTTTTGACCTCACTGATTGGAGCGTTTTTGAAGCTGCTGCCACCGATCTGGACGAGCTCACAGAGACTGTAACATCTTATATCAGTTTCTGTGAAGACATGTGCATTCCTACCAGGACTCATTTAACTTACAACAATGACAAACCATGGTTCACTGCAAAACTCAGACAGCTTCCTTCAGGCCAAAGAAGATGTTCACAGGAAGGGGGATAATGTCTTGTATAAACAGGGTAAATACACACTGGAAAAGGAGATCAGAGTGGCAAAGAGGAATTATTCTGAAAAAAATAAGGATTCAATTCTCTTCCAGTGACTCCGCATCAGTGTGGAAAAGTCTAAAAGAAATCACCAATTACAAGACACCATCCCCCAGCACTGTGAAGAATCAACACCTGGCAGACAATCTGAAC